GCATCGCCGTCAACTTGGAGTTCGATGGAACCGTCGCGTCTCTCTTCATCGACTGGAATATTGCCAGAGCCTAACAAAAAAAACGGAGATGTAATCAAGATACAGCGAAGGTCCGAAACCAGTCATTCAAAGCAACAATGACTCGAAGAAAATGCGTTACAATGCGCCGGAAATATGAATTTTGGTAGTCCACAAAGTGACAAATTGGTTGCGTGAAACCTGTGTATTTTTAAGGTTTTGAGACTAAGTGGATCTACAACTGAAGACGCCACTCCTACTTTCTACGTAAAAATGGACACACGGTCATGTTAAAAAACAGACTTGTCCACTAAGTGAAGATGAGTACACCAAATCACAAAAAAGCACCACATTCTTATACAGGGTATTGTGGGGTTGCGGGCTGGAGGGATGAGGTATCGTGAAAATAGATTCTATAGATTCGTTTGTAATGTGAGTACCAAGAAAGTTAGATAAAAAAGAAAGATATGCACAGCATGCACCAAAAATTGCGAACTACCGATCTAGACTTCGAGACTGGTGGGAAAGGCGAGAAGGGGAAACAATCGACAAACCTGTGCAACCATTGAAGAAACGTCGCCCGCTTGAGAGGGCAGAAGCATCGTATTCGTGGATTTGGCCAATTTTGCGAAGGCGTCAATATAGCGTTCCGCAATGGCCATCTGCACAGCATCTTCGCCTCGCTGAAAGTGGAAAATGTACTTCAGGCCTCGGTTGTCCGTCGCGAAAAAATCCCGTTTTTTAAGGAAAATGTCCTGAAATACCCCATATTCCTGGACCGCAGGGTCACAGGATGAATAGAAAGTCGAACATAACTAAATGGCGGCAGGACCTTTTTGAGAGTGGCACACACACGAAATGCAGAGTACCACGTAATTAAAAGCAGTACGTCAGTGCGCCAGATCTGGGACAGGGCAGGACTCTAACTGTTAGTCGACTAGATGATAAGCTCCGCGAAGTGTGTAGCCCTTAACGAGCTAAGTATTAAAGGCGTGCGTTGATTACTTAAAAGCTGGCCCGAGTGCACAGCGGACCGCCACCTGCTACGGAAGGGGGCAGCCAATTTAAAAGAGGAAGTCAGGTGAACGAGTAACCGGTAGTTGCGAACAGCAGGTCTTGTAACACGCATCCAGCTGGAATTCATTGTCACATCCTTCTAATATACGGTGCAATGAGGACTTGTGCTCAGTGGACACGCGGTGAACAGAGGGGAACGTTATGGAAAGGAAAAAGTCACGAAAAACCAACATCAGATGTAATGGCTTCAGCCAATTTCCGAACGGCCATGGCGCGAGATTCTGCTAACCGCAGGATGGCTTCGGCCTCGCCTGAAAAAGCAAACAAAGCTCGAGATCATTTTCAAATGCTAAAATAGGCACTTGGCTTGCATAAAGGAATTCAAAATGTCAGGTTGGTATCCAGTAGTCAGCCAGCTCATGTGCCGACACTATTGGACATAGTATTGCCACTTGTCATCCCATGACAGCAACTAATTGCATTTGACAAACAATGGTATTATTTACGCCACAGCTCTCCTCAGGCGGAGATAAAAACGTCAGTTTTAAGCAGACAAATATGAACGTCTAATATGGAAAAAAGGGAAGTGAACGTAACATCATCATCATCATCATCATCATCATCGTCGTCGTCGTCATCATCATCATCATCATCATCATCAGCAGCAGCAGCAACAGCAGCAGCATCCTCATCATCACCACCACCATCATCATCATCATAAGCCTTTAAAGGCACCTATGGACAGCGTGTGCCGGTCAGTCCTTCTATCCTCACGGTCGTTAATAATGAGTTGTGACGGTGGAAAGTTGCACCATCGTATTATCGTTGTTTGGGAACGATCATCCGAGTGAAGTACTGTAAAAGGCGCCCAGACTGAGGCAACTCTCGGATGCCATTCGTCGCCGTATCACACATAAGTAACTGCAGAAGCATTAAGCACTCTGTGGGGCCAACTCACTAAAAGTCAGGATGACTTGCACGAACAACGAGCCCGTGTTTAGTGCAAGGTAGACAGAGCATATTTGGGCGCAATTTTCTATGCTATTGAAATTCACAGGTGAGAACCTTAAGTTGGTGTGTATTGTACCATAAACAAACATGAATATAAACATGAAATGTCCGTAAAAAAATCTTTTCCGGAAACGGAAGACCGGATTTTGCGTCCACGTAAATCAGGTGAAGACAGGTATGAGAGATTACATTGTTTTCAAGAAAAGAGGAGCGAATTTGACTCCAACAATTCTGTTTGACAAAGTTGTATTGCTGTGTACCATAAAACTCGGTAATAAACTTGTTTGAGCGTAGTCTGTTTCACCACACAGAGAATTATTAAGCGTAAAAAATATAGATTGAGTACACGTGACATGCTGTCACGCTTCCGTCACACCGCGCGATAAAAATGCCCAGACATTTTCTATGGCAGTCGACTACGAACGGATATGAAAATTAGCAGCGGGAGGGTTTTCGCGTGAACTGTCATCAAGCACTTTTAACATTGTAAAGTCACTCTGTGGTGAGTTGTTAATGATAAAACTATACCAAGAAATAAGCAGGGTGGACCAGAACGAGACAACGATTTTGTCCACCGCAAACTAAATTAAGTACCAGCGTATGCCTATTGAGACCATTCGCAGGGAACATCTGCCAATGGCTTCTATGAACATAATAAAGAAAAGGATTCAGGAATGCGAACTTCAGAATGATGTTGCTGACAAAGACAAGAGGCTGGAATGGCCATTTCTGGCTTAGTAGCCGTCGTCAGCCAGTCATACCCAACCTCGAAGTGTGCAACACCCGGGGCTAGATCCCACGACCTGTTGGTTATAAGTCCAATGGCCCTAACCACTAAGACACGGGCTCGTTGTCCTGTCGGTTGCGATCGAGAATATAGGCTTTCTAAGGCACAACGGAACGAGTGAGTCCCCTAAAAAAGATCGGTGAGAACCCCTCTACCAGTTGAGCTTCGCCAAAAGACGATTACCATGCCGCTTTTAAGTAAGAAGCTTGCTAAGGAACGATTTTTGTGTGCTAAAAATTACAGGCCGTCATTCTGAAAGAGCATTTACTTCCGCGATTAGGTCTTATTTTTAGATAAGCCTACGAAGTCGACCCAAATGGTCATATGTGAGAACTTTCCAAAAGGGCATAATGCGCCGACGACAACCCTTAAGAATTGTTGACTGCTATAAAATTCGGACAGCGGCCAATCTGGCGGTCGATTACGAATACCATCAACAGTAGGGTGTTCGTTGATATTACGAGGGATGTCTTCGGTTACAACAACATCCAATGACGGTGCTTCTGCCCATCGCTCCAAAGAGGTATGAAGATGATGACCATTTCGACCGTAATCCAACTTTCTGAACAGCTGGCTTCTCCGCATGTGGCCTCCAATCGATTTTTATTCCTGTCAGCAGCCTGGATCTTAATCCTGCCGAAAATAGACAACCTAGTTACGTCCATGTCCGAGAGGCTGTCTGTTGTGTTAAACGTAATGGACGGTCAACAAGGTACTGATTTCCTTGTATTTGCTACTGTTTTACATTATAACCCTTTTTCATGGGTCCTTCCTCCTTATGCGCCCTTATAGTCGGTTTTAATTAAGTGATTTGTAATACAACCACTTTCTGTAATTTCAGTTTCCAGTAAAAACTGATTAGTTTTACTAGTAAACATTGATGTATAAACCCAACTATGCCTTCTTTTTAGAACAGTCGTCTCTTTAGTGCTGCCAGAGTTTGGGAAAAGAGGCGTGGGCAGATTTTGCGTTATGGGGATTCTCCTGTGGAACTGAGTTACCTGGTGTAATACCAACACCACTAATAATACCGCGGAAATATTGTAAGTCGGAGTAGTTCTTCTGTGTCTGGTGAAGGAACAAAAAGTTTAGACAGAAGCGGAGGAAAACGGCGTCCTTATATGTGCAACTTCGCTTACCCGCAGCATGGTTAATGGTTTCTGTGCGTCGACCCTCTGAAGAGAGGACCTGGCTCCGTTTTATGCCTTCAGCCCGATTAATTTCAGCATCTCGTTGACCCTCTGACTCCAGAATAGCGGCACGTTTCCTTCGGTCGGCCTCCACCTGCATCTGCATGGCGTCCTTGATCTTGGCAGGAAGGTGAATATCGCCTGCAGATAAGAGGGGGGGGGTCAATTTATGTACGTTTAGGGGACGAACTGGTAGGTTGATCGCAGTTTTTACAAAACGTCGTTCTTTGAATGTACAAAAAGGTCAAAAATCAAACTGGACAGGAGCTCTTTCAATTCCCGAATAATGGCTTTCACAATAACTTGAAGAGGCTGTTGTAGAGCAATTTCGGACAGTCCAATGTTACAGCAGTCCTGTCCGGCTTGAAAGTAAAACGCTATCAACCGAGTAGGATTAGTTAGAAACTGCCGACAAACGTGCAATTGTTGGGAGCGTTTTCGAGGCCAGATATAGAACAAGGCTGTCACAAGGCAACGCAGGAAGGGGATAGTCCCGGCCGGATAATTAGCAGGGAAATTTTCTGCCTTTTACTACGAGTAGTCAACCTGATTGAATATTTTGGACAATCGTACATTTCTGCCGACAACATGCCCAAGAAACTTAAACATGCAAACGCAGTTTATTCGTCCCATTGCCGTGGGTTCACACAACCAGCCAGCTGGGCTACTAGTTATTTGAAGAGCAGTGGCCTGCAACTACCTAGCTGAAACAAGTGTGAGTGAGTGTAGGTGCTAGTTTAAGCATAAAGCCATACTATGATAGTCATAAGTAGACGCTTGTTCGTGGTTGGAGAGATAGTGGAACACCTTGAAGGGGGCGCTGACGTTAAGTCTGAGTAGCCGGATCAGGACACACAACAGTCGCCTGATTGTGTGGGGGGTTGCGCTTGTACGCATCTCTACACTGACACTCACCATAGGGCGCGGCCGAGATGTGATGAGACTGAGGAGATTATGGTTTCCATGAGTTACATTAGTGGCGACTGCGCTACTTGTGTATGACCGGCTACCAGATGTCAGTAAGGCGAAAGACTTGTAGCTGTATGTAAGAGTCTGATAGGCCGTGGGATACTAAATTCTACTTATAAACATGGAACATGGTTATATAAGGGGACAGATCACCGCGTACGGCGAACGGCAGGTGCGACTCTCAGTGTGCAAGGCTAATTTGGAAAACAAATCATTTTTCCACTCATAACTTACGGATTTCATATCGCATGCACTCGATACCCCAGGGTTCGGCTGCTTTGCAAATAGACTGAACGATGTTGTGGTTAAGAGCTTCGCGCTCCTTGAAGACATTGTCCAGGTCGATTTTGCCAATCTCCGAACGCATTGTTGTCTGAGCCAACTGGCGAGGGAAAAAAAGAGGTCATCCACCGATTAGACAAATTTTGCTGCCAAAAATCAAGCCATGACTTTGTGATATGTGTCCTCGAACATGAAGAAATGAGGCTTTCGGTAACTGCGCGACTCGTGGGACAAGTCATACCCGACCCAATCCAAAACGTTCACTTTATGGTCGTTTGCAGTAGGAAAGCTGACGTTTATTCAGAAGCATCTACAATGAAGTGACTGCATTCAGACCTCGGTCACCTCCCTATAGTACTTTTCGGGGTAACCAGAAAATCCTATGCACATAAGGCCTAAGACAAGAACATTTAGTGTGACAAAACACGAGAGAATTAAGCTTGGTGACGAGGATGAGCCGATAACCCACGAGATACTTCGGTTGGGGCATGAGAAACCTACTTCTAACCCCAGAAATCACTTCAGTCATACCCGGCCCGTTAAAAACAAGCAACAAAGGCGAGGATGTTATGTGCCAAAATAAGGCATTAGACAAAATAATTCAGGAGTCGTTGATTGATTATGAAAACCCATCGCACGTAGCATCCACAGGGGGCTCGATAATTCACTAATTAAGCAGGAAATGCTAAATACTGGCCTCGTAACATTTTTTGGAGAACAGGTGAGAGTTGGTCAAAGTCGATAT